AAGTACAGGACTTCTGCATAGGAAAGTAATGATCTCCGACATTTTGGCTGCTTTTCGGACGTTTCCCTTTTCGGACCGGTTTTCGGAAGAGCCTTCTGTTACAGACACTTGCACATGAATTCACAATTATTATTGTATTTGCTCGTTCGAATTTATTTGTATTTTGTTTCTCTCACCTTTCACTATTCCCGAGTTGATCACGTACGTGCGTGCTCCACTCTGCTGCAGTTAGAGGCAGCTACTCTACATGCAGTCGAGTCGATTCTATTGTGTATCTGCATGTCTCCTTGATAATACCTGTCCAACTCTAAATAACTAGAATTAAATTCCTTCTCTCTTCTCTCTCGCTTCTTCTCTTCGATTTATTTATTTTCGCTTCTCTCATGATCAGTTACTTTTGTTTTGTTTGTACTTTGTACGCTATCGCTCTATCTGCATGACGCGATGCAGTTTATGGATGTGGTCACTCCTTGGGGCGCCGTGCCTGCACCTTTGGGGCGCAGTGCACCGGATGCGCAGTGACCTCTACGATGTACGCCAGAGCTAGGCATTTTTTGGCTGCGTGTTTCCTTTTGCGCTGGCAGCTTTTCTGTTTGAGGCTACATGTACGCGTGTCGCGCTTTGCCTTTCAGAAGTCTTTGAGTTTCAGTTTTATTCCACTTTGTAAAGAACAAGAACAAGTAATGGTTCGAAGGAAGTCTTGTCTACCATGGCCACAGGGCCGCAACATGGTCCTTCGAGCCGGATGAGCAGTTCTAAAGAAATATACAGTCTTCAGATTACAGAAACACAGCAATGTTGCTGCGAAATCGTAGAGGTAAGGGCGAAACGGATATGGCCGATGTCGCCGAGCAGGCTGCTGAGCTGGAGTTGCCAGCATCCCCTGCCTCACTCGCCTCATCGATGAGATCGTCCTCCTCCGTTAAACGGCAAAAAGCGGAGGCCAATTTGGAGATGGCACGACGTTTGATGGCAATTGAGGAGGCGGATGCGCAAGAACGACTGGACAGGCAGAGGCGTTTGCTTGAATTGGAGTTGGAGGCGCGCCATGCCCAAATCGAGAACACCTCGTCCTCTCGTTCGCGACGATCGTCTCGTCCTGCATCCAGTGCGCCGACTCAGCATTTGAGGCCGTTGTTGGCATCGTCGACTACCCGATCAGCAGCGTCGTTGATCAGCTCTGGCCAGGAGAATAAAGTAGAAGTAAGCTCATCTCAGCCCCGATTAGAAACAGTGTGTAAACTTCCGGGAAAGTCCGCCTTGACCGCTACTAGGCATTGGGTAGAGACCCAGAAACCCGGCACTGCACACGCCACACTTGCGGCAGGGACAACAGCAACAAAGCCAGCTCAGGAGAGTCCTGAGGCTGGAGGCCTGCACCCAGCGCAAGCAGCAAACGGCATGCAGAAGTTTCTGATCCGACAGACGGTTGGTCGTGACTTGCCGGCATTCTCTGGCGACTCGGAGGAGTGGCCCATATTTGCCTCTACCTACCAGAGGACGTCAGACGAGTGTGGGTTTTCGCCATCGGAGAATGTAATTCGTCTGCAACGTTGCCTAAAAGGCCCAGCCAAGGCTGCCGTCGGAGCGATGCTCACCGTGCCGGAGAACCTGCCGACGGTACTCCAGGTCCTGGAAAGCCGGTTTGGTCGACCGGATGCTGTGATTGCTGCCATGATCGGGAAAGCCAAGGCCATTGGACAGGTCAAGCCAGGAGACTTTGATAGTCTTATCAACCTGTCCACTGCTGTGACGACTCTAGTTACTACCATGGAACACCTTCGAAGTGAAGGTCACATGTATAACCCTCAGCTACGTCAAGAGCTTGTTGGTAGGTTGCCAACATCCCTGCGACTGCAGTGGGGAGAAGTACTTGTGCGTCAGGGTAGCCATGACATCAGCTTGCGAGTGTTTTCTTTGTGGCTGGCGGACAAGGCTGAAGCAGCTGTGCGCGTCGTGGATCTGCCGGGTACCCGAACCGACAAGACGCAGCGGGTGTACAGTCACCAGGAAGTTTCGACAGTACACAGCACAGCAGCAGCGACGGCACCAGCAAGTGCAACCAGTAAAACTCAGTCAGCCTGCCTTTGCTGCAAACAAGTGCAGCATGCCCTCAGTAAGTGTTCAACATTCACGAAGCTTGGCCAGAAAGCCCGTTTTGAGCTGGTAAAACGTCATCGTCTTTGCTTTTCTTGCCTGGCCAGTGGACACGCTACCAGGGAGTGTGGCAGCAGGAAGCAGTGCAGTGAGCCTGACTGCAAGTACCACCATCACGTGCTCCTGCACAAGGGCAAGGCCGCAGAGAAGCCAGTCGACACTTGTGGGCACACTGGTATTCCGGGTACAACCCGAGTGTTGCTGAGAGTGTTGCCAGTGACGGTTAGTGGCCCAAAGGGCTGTGTGGAGACACTTGCTCTGCTGGACGAAGCCTCAACTGTCACGCTAATGGACAAGGCCTTAGCGGATGACATAGGTGCTGTTGGACAGTCGGATCCCCTGCATATGGCATGGACGAATTCGACGACGCACACGGACAACTCGTCATGCAGAGTCTCTGTATTGGTCAATGGCAGCGATGGCACCCAGCATCAACTGGATGATGTGAGAACAGCCAAGGACCTCAAGTTGCATTCGCAGTCAATAGATGGCAGAGGGCTGGCGAATCGATGGCCTCATTTAGATGACTCCAGAGTGGCGTCGTACCCAGCAGTACAACCGAGGATGCTCATTGGGCAAGACAATGGACACCTCACAGTGGCACGTGAAGTCGTCGAAGGCCCGCCAAATGCACCTATGCTGACGAGAACCCTTCTTGGTTGGGTAGTGCACGGTCGCATCGGAGCCCGGACTCACCAAGATCAACTCGAACCGGAGGCGATCTACCACATCTCGCAGCCAACGTCGGATGAGTGCATCGACACGACCGAAGTGAAGAAGGAGTTCGTTGCGGCGACAACATCTCCGCCAAGGCCCCAGCAAATTGCCGAAGCGCTGCCTGACGTCAACCGATTCTCGTCATGGAAACGTCTCATCTGCACAACCGCGTATGTTGCCAGGTTCATCGCAAACACACGGGCCAGAGTTCGCGGCCAAACTGTCGAATCAACCGCAGCCATCTCAGCCAAGGAAATGGATGCGGCCGAGCAGCTCTGGATGAAATCCGTGCAGGCAGAGTGTTTTGCCGAAGAAGTGGCTTTGTTGAGCGATGGCCAGCCTGTCAGCACCAGCAGTCGTCTACGACAGCTAGCACTAGCCATTGATGAGGACGGGATCCTGCGGGTTCAGGGTCGCCTCACACATGCGACGGCGGAAATGGCGTACAGTGCGAAACATCCAGCTATCCTGTGTCCAAAGCATAGGTACACACAGCTCCTAGTCCATGAATACCATCTGCGTTCTGGCCATCATGGACACGAGAGGGCATTGAATGAGCTTCGCCAGCAGTACTGGGTGACGGCAGGTCGAGCAGCTGTGAAGCGAGCATGGTCTGAGTGTCAATACTGCAAGAACCAACGAGCCAATCCCAAGCCACCTGTAATGGGAAATCTACCTGTCCAGCGCTTGACCCCGTTCCTGGGACCATTCATGTTCACCGAGCAGGACGGGACAACGTCACTAGCTGTAGGTGATGTCGTGGTGGTCGTCAACAGCAACCAGCCACGAGGGCAGTGGCCTCGGGGCCGACTAGAGGCTGTGCACCCGGGCAGTGATGGCGTTGTGCGGGTGGCAGATGTGCGCACCAAGTCTGGACTGTACCGGCGCCCAGTCGTTAAGCTTGCCAAGCTGGACGTGCTGCGCTAACTTTGTTTGTGACTTGTAACAGGTCATCGGTTCCCTGTTACCAGGGGGGAGAATGTTACAGACACTTGCACATGAATTCACAATTATTATTGTATTTGCTCGTTCGAATTTATTTGTATTTTGTTTCTCTCACCTTTCACTATTCCCGAGTTGATCACGTACGTGCGTGCTCCACTCTGCTGCAGTTAGAGGCAGCTACTCTACATGCAGTCGAGTCGATTCTATTGTGTATCTGCATGTCTCCTTGATAATACCTGTCCAACTCTAAATAACTAGAATTAAATTCCTTCTCTCTTCTCTCTCGCTTCTTCTCTTCGATTTATTTATTTTCGCTTCTCTCATGATCAGTTACTTTTGTTTTGTTTGTACTTTGTACGCTATCGCTCTATCTGCATGACGCGATGCAGTTTATGGATGTGGTCACTCCTTGGGGCGCCGTGCCTGCACCTTTGGGGCGCAGTGCACCGGATGCGCAGTGACCTCTACGATGTACGCCAGAGCTAGGCATTTTTTGGCTGCGTGTTTCCTTTTGCGCTGGCAGCTTTTCTGTTTGAGGCTACATGTACGCGTGTCGCGCTTTGCCTTTCAGAAGTCTTTGAGTTTCAGTTTTATTCCACTTTGTAAAGAACAAGAACAAGTAATGGTTCGAAGGAAGTCTTGTCTACCATGGCCACAGGGCCGCAACACCTTCGAAAATCGGACACTGTCCGAAAAATCGGACGGTTTGGCAGCACTGCCTATCATCCGCGGCCACCGTCGCATAGTCTTGTGCATGAGCTTCAAAGGCTGCAAGGACTTGCAGCTAGGTGGCATGCAAGACCTGCGATTGCTCGATAAAAGCAACATGTAACATTGTAGGGTACGACCACAGCCCAAAGAGTGGTCCCCATAAACGCAGAGAGCTGTCCACACAGTACAGAAAGAAAAAGCGGCTGTGTTTGGAATTTCCCCACTTTCAATGCAACAATCAGTCAGGTTGCCCATCTCCAGTTTTCTCTCCTGTGTAGCTTGTCAGTATTCTCTACTTTTATAATTATAATTATTTTTATATTTATGTTTTTTTACTAAGTCCACTATGCTCTACTGTGTAGCTTGATACATGCAGAGACTGCGGGTTGAAATCGCAGAAGACAAACTGTATGATGCTGCGCATGCACCGGCAGAGATGCAAGCTGATGAAAAGGGACTCAAAACAAGAGTAACGGCAC